TCCCCCCCGCAGCCCTCACACACCCCCTCAGGCATCTCCGCTTTTCCCGGCGCTTTTCTGAGGCGGSAAGTCAAGTGACGGTAGAGATGCGCCAAAAGTGTGATGACCCTCCGGTACCGGGAAGGGAACACCCACGCTTGGTAAATGCTCGGAAGTCAGAGGGGCCGCGAGCAGTCATGAAGTTTTACTGGTAAGCTTGTCATGGAAATTGGTATGTTAGTCCCTGCCCTGAACACAATGCCAGGGCAGTGAGTTTTGGATAAAAGGGTAGGGGGAAAGGGAAAAGAGAGAGAAACAGAGAAAGAAAGAGAGAGAGAAAAAAAAGGGAAAAAGAGATCACCAGTGTTGGTTGCAGCCTCAATCCCGCTGAGGGAATGTCAGTCTGGGTTCCAGGCTGTTGATCCCAGCTRTGACCACCCAGTCCAAGGTTCAGGTGGGTTCAGTCACCCCTGTGGGCAGTGCCTGCCCTTGCCCTGCGGACCCCCTCTTCACTCCTCACACCCCCAGCACAAGGAAAACTTATTTAAAGGAACTGGGAGGACACCAAAGTCAAGGCTGGAAGAGCCTGGCGGCGATATGTGTCCTCGTCCTTCAGCGGGAACACACGAGTTGCTCAAYGAGTGCTTCCCACGGCACCCAGGCTCAGCACAAATGTGTGTCCTACCTCATGAGGGTCTTCCAAATGGGAGCCAGGGTAGGTATTTTTATAGGAAAGTACAAACGGAGTGCCCCCCAGTTGAGTAGTCCCCCAAGAAGTGGTGTTTTGTGTCAAGCAGGTGTTCTCCTTCACAAATGTTACCCTGGGGAGTGGGAGTTCAGCTCATCAGTTTTGGGAGGAGCTGACAACGGGTCTGGCTGGRGAGCTCTCCTTTCAGTCCCAGCTGTGCTCCAGAGGGTCAAAAAACTGGGACAAAGGCTGCTCCAGAGGGCTGAAAATGGGACAAAGGCTGGGGTTTGTACCTTGCTTTCGTTCTTTCCCTAGACAGACAGGCTCGTGATGGGAGGGTGAGTCACAGAACACGTCACCAGCAAACAAACTCTAGTAACCTCTTGTGAGCTGCATTTCACACAGCAAATGGGAAAGTTTTCCCAAAGCCACAATTTATCCACTTATCTCTTACCATCAAGTACATGTCTCTCCTTCTCCTCCTCACGACATCAGGGCTGTGCTGTGCATGATGTGTCCCCAGGTGCACCTGGAAAGGTCACCCCAAACCAAGGTACAAAGTTACAATGGGGTAATAAAACATTTCTGTCACTTTTTACCTATCAGACCTGCTAATAAAATTTGTTTTGACTAACACACACCCTAGACACACAATTTAAATTGTAACTGCTGGAACTTTTGGAAGTTGTTTTAAATATCTGTGGGGACTCTGAGGAGAACCACTTACTGAAAAAGTCCAGAATTGACTGATTTTGCAATGTGTGTTCACATTATTATCCCACCACTCATCTTTCATGCGGCTTAATAGGAGAACCTGTAAAAATGAAAAGAAAAAACTRAAAGCACTATAGTTGCTGAAATGCAGTGGGTGAGAGCAGCAGGAATCTTCAAATAAATCTGTCCCACTTCTTAAGAAGTCAACTTTAGCACAGTGCTGCTTAGAGATACTCTCAGGTCAGGCTGTATGTGATCTCTGGTGCCCTCATGCCAGAAATGCTGTGCCAGCTATTTACAGTGAAGTTGTGGGGCCATTATCAGCTGGGAGAGTAAGTCTGAAAAAAAAGACAAAACAAACAACCCAAAATACTCAGTGCACAGTGTACAAAAATATCCTAAAGTTCAACAACTTGTTGAAACTATTTCATGCAATTATAGAGTCTGACTGTGGATGGTAGGAAAATGAGATTCCTTTAATAGAAAGAAAAGAGCATCTAACCTTCAGAGTGAGTTTGCTTTACTTATTTTGCCTTACAGAGGCTGTAGAGAGGTGCCACCAAATTTTATTAGCTGTTCTGGACAAAYCTCTCTCAGGCCAAGCAGCGGAGTGTGATAAGCACTGAGCTCCCTCCCTGGGTGCTGGATTTTTCCCTGGCAGAGCTTTTTCACAGTCTGCTCTTCARAGGTAGTTTACCAAAAAACAAAGTGGCTGCTCTTCTTACCTTCCTTCCCATTATTTACAGTCAATTGGAAAAAGRCAGTGCCACCTCTGCTTCCTGCCACTCACGTCCATCATCTGCTATTGTCTTTCCCASTCTAAATCGCTGCATTGTTTCATCAGCAGCATCATTTACCCCACTTGTCACCAGGTGCTTGTAATCCGGATTTTCTGGAGTGTTGTACATTAATCCTGCAGTTGCATTGCTCAATGATTGCCCAACCACAGCTCTTCCTGAGCACTCCTGGCTGAGTCACCGCGTGGTCGTTCCCATTGTTGACATGGGAACCTTGGCCCTGATACCCCAGTTTCTTGCCTCAGTTTCACTGGCTTTMACCTTCCCAGCACCAGGCAGCAACTTGACTTTAGCAGCACCTCCTCTTGTTTCCCTCTTTTCTCTCCTTTCTTTCTTTCCTTCTTTGGACAATGCTCTTAAGCACATGGTGTGATTTTTGGGGGTCTTCTGTGCAGGGCCAGGAGTTGGGCTTGATGATCTTTGAGGGACCCTTCCAACTCAGGATATTCTATGATWCTTTCTTATGATTCTTCTCTTTATTTCTATGCCTAGTCGTGTTCCTTCATGTCATTTCTAACACTGCTGTAAAATAGATGTGATTAATCCTGCCTAGCTTTTAATTCTGTGTARCTCTAATTTGTTTTCTATTTTAAGATTTTTGGTGTCAGACAGCCTAGGCAGCGAGCAGCTGGGGCTCTTTTTGRTGCCCACATTTATTGACCAGGATGATTAATTCGTTTGGAACTTCGATCTGAGCTTTAAAGTCAGTCACTTGAGAGCCTCGATGCTTTCACATATGTCAGTAGATTCCACAATAAATTGTTTTAAAGTGCGGTTTAGAATGTCTCTATAAGTGCAATGGGAACATCCTGATGGATAAATGAAGGAGCTCCCTCAAGTGGTGAAAAGTATTGTTACATGTTTCCACCTAAAAGTTTTCCTTTTAAACAGTAAGGACAGCAATATCAGATGTAGAATGTAAGGCCAGTTATAAATGTAGCATTGAATGAGCTTCCAATTTTGCATAACCAGAAATAATGGTGTGCCTGTAAGATTGAAGCCAAAACTCAGTCAGGCTACAGTTAAAAAGAAAATAATTTAAGAAACTGTAGAGGACTTAAGCCTGATCTGATAATACATGACTGAATTTTGGCAGGAAAGCCAAAAACTAGCTCCAGCAGATATCACATTGTTGAGGATGCCTGAAGTGTTTATAAATCATAAAGTTKGCTTTTTAAAAACTCCAGCTCATGCTTTCACAGTTTCTGCTATCATCATATCAAAAATTTGTGCATAAACATCCTTGCTCCTTTTCAATCTGTACGAGGCATAGAGTTTTCAAAATATTTAGTGCGGGATATTCAGATTAGCAAACTTTGGAGAAAAGACAGAAGCAGCAGCAGTTACACTCACTTTCCAAGCCATGAAGCCGCTGGTTTGCTGGCAGGCGAGTTAGAAAGAAATACCCCCATCCATCTCGGTAGAGGGCAGTGGTAACCTTACCCAAACATCACACTGCCTTTTGCTTCTGAACTGAAACCATCCTTGAAAAAAAATAGTGAAGCCCGACTGCCAACCAGCAAATTCCTGTCTTCCTCTACCAGCTCAGAAATTCTARTGATGAATTTCTTGCCATGATCAAGCAGGAGGTGCAACAGCCAACATAATTGCTGTAATTCCATTGCTGAAAGGGAAACCTGCATTATTTTTTTTTGAGGAGTAATTAATTTTTCCTTTCCCTACCATTTTAGGTAATAGAATGAACCTTGCTAACAGGGCCAGTGTAATAGTTGGGGTTTTGTTTGTTTAAATTGAGGAGGYTTTTTCTTCAGTATGTTTAAAAAGGAGGAGATCCTTCTAGTCTGGCTAAATGTCAAATCATGAGAGGTATTAAACCTGTATAACTACTGTCTCACCTCACTAAGTTGAACTTCGTTTTCTGCAGCTTGAGCCTCTCTGATACACCAGCTTTCTCTTTCTGTTAGGCTCAGAAATAACTTCACCTAGGTCCCAACCACATTATATAATATCGTTGTTCTCTTTGTGACACCAGCTCAAACCAACCTCAGATTTATTTAGCAGCATACACTGCTGCTTATTAAAAATGCATGAAAATATTGAACTGCCTCAATAAGAGGGTTTCTGAATACATGGAATACATGGAATTAAATGRGCAGTCAGCCCTGGAAGAGTGACTTCAGAGAGAGGCATTCCAGAACAAACGCATCTAGTTACCAGTATTGACTTTCGTGCATATAATGGCTTTCTAAATATTTTTGTGGAAATACAGCACGGAACTTGGCCAGCATCTCCTTCCCACTCCTACAGTAGCAACTGTTTGTGTTCTTGTGACTCCACAAATTGCCAGCTGTGTTACACAGATGGGACACTTCCTTGTGCAGGTAAGACACAGCAGGTGGAAGGGCAGACATTTTACACCTAATTTAATGATGGCTTACTACCCTGTAGTAATCTCTGCCTCTCCATATTTAATAACCTTGTGCATACTTTCTCTTTTTCCTAAATAAATACAAACCAGTGTGCTA